CACATCATCCTTTCTCACACATGATTTTCATTCTCTGTTGTGCCACCTGAGCAAGCACTGTATTCCATTTCTCCAAACTGTTTAGACACCTGAAATTTGTTTAATTACAGTGGGCACATGGCAGATGTCAATTGCTGCATATCTGGGCATTTGATTCTCTGTCTCAATACTTTGAAATAATTTGGATGTCCCTCTCTTAACTCACTGTGGTTTATGAAAGTGAATCCCAGGAAAGCCAAATTAATACCATGGATAGAGTGATCTACCTCAGTGTACAGGAAAGTGTGCAGCAAATCCTGGACAGCTGAAAGGAAACTTCATGAATTTCAGTCATTTTCTTCCTTTCCACCACTGCAGATGAGCTCTGGTGGTGGGGGAACTGTGGAGTTCCTTTCTCCTCCTGTCCCTGTGCCAGAGCTTACTGGCCTCATAGCACAGCTGGCAGCAGGGAACACGAATTCATGCCTGAGCTCTTTCTGCACATAGTTTGGCATATTAGCTCACATGCTGATGAAACTGGATTTGAGCTAAGATGCATAAAAGGGAATTTTCTTGGCTAAATGTGAGGTACTGCACAGAAAAATGAAGGAAAAGGAAACCTTGGGAGATATATTTTCCCTTAATATATTAGATAGTTCTCTCTCTGTGTCATATTTCTATTGTTCTTAAAGGAGCTATTTGATTATTATACATTTAAGGTATTTTTTACAATGGTATTTTGTGCATTTTAATGATTTTCATACATCCTTCTTTTTATTAAAGCAAAAATCTAATAAAAAGCTTTCCTTGGCACAGTTTAAATTAACTTTGGTTTTAAAGTTAGTCCCACATAAGATGTGTTTATTAGGCTCCTGCAGTCTGGCAAAACCTGTTTACACAAAATAAAGATCCTCCCCACTGCTCTGTTTGAGGTTGGAATTGATAACACATTTCACAAGTTCAGAGAATTTGGAGGTACTGGAATCTGGAGATAGGAAATGTCATGATATTCTGTAAGAATATTCTGTAATACAGTAAAAGATCCAAACACACCCTCACCATCTCATCAAGGTTTGAGGCAAGAGTGATGCTTACAGTTTTGGGAAAAGTCATCAGCTTTTCTTCAACAAAATTTTTTAAACTTCTTAGTGAATTTTTTTAATCTACTGAAGTAGAAATGTGAAGTTAAGTATAGGAGAGCAAATTTCCTGGAGTAAATTCCTCTACATTTTTGTGGGGTTTTTCTGTAAAGTTTTTTAAGGAAAGCATTAATGGATGAAAAATGAACTAGAATTTTTTAATAGCTTGCCCTCCAGTAAATTCATAATATCATATTTTTTAGCAAGAGAAAGGCAGATCGGTGCTTTAAGATGTCATACAAAACTATTTTAACATTGTAAAACTAATATGAGTGATATTATGTTATTTAATATGCCTCTCTGAGCTGACCATTTTTACCTTATCTAAAGAACATGAAAATTACAACAGATTAATGTTCAATTAATGCATAAAAATAACTTTCAATGACCAGAACACATCTTGAGATTTTTTTCTGCTGACATGGATAAACTCCTATTTGAACATGCCTTAATATTTGTATGGATTCACAGCAGTCAACAACAAATATCCCTAGAAATGTAAAATTATTCAGAAAATGAGGAAAAATATTTATTTTTCTATTAAAAATAAAAGGATGTTTAAACCATTGACCATTTTGCCCAATTTCTACCACCTGGGATAGATTAAATCCATTTCAGTTTTATTATTGTCACACAAAGTTAAAGATTACCATCTGTAGTGATGGTGCATTCTAAAAATTCAAAACATTCCACTTTTTGAATGTTTTTGATATTTTGGGTAGTCCTAGGAGAGTTTCATGCTTTCTTGATAAAAATCAGGATGAAAAGTTCCTCTTTGTTAGTGCAGAGTGACAGATGTACATCCAAAGAATTTCAGTATCTCTGTGACTTAAATATTAAGTGGTCATAGAAAAAATACACTCTGAGAGGAGTAAATTTTTTCTTATTTGTTTTCCCAGCTGACATGGGAGCTAGTTTGTTATGTTAGAGCATTTATGCCAACAAGATGCAGAACCTGAATTATCAGTAATTTTTGGAAGCAAAAATGGTGCCCATCTAATATACACTTTCACAATGTCTGCAGCACCACCTTTTCATTTTCAACCTTTTCTTACTTGGCAACCAAAAAAAAAACCAAAAAAGCTTGAATTGTAGTCTGAGAAGTGTGCTATAATTATCTTTACAATCTGCTCCAATTACATACTGTCTTACACTTGACATCTACCATTAGCAATTTTGCACAAATGGCAGTAAACATATGACAATTACTGATCTCACTGCTTACCTGCATCAACTGATTTCTGCTTTCTTTCTGGGAGTAGAAAGCTTTTGCATTTCTGAGGCAGTAATTTTACATTTGAGAAAATTCTGCTGTCATCATCACTTTCACCATCACAATCCATGTAAGAATGTAACTCAACTAAACCCAAATTACTAGTCCTCAGTCTTAGCTCTTTATCACCTTCCAGTCTGTGCACCTCAGTGCTGGCTCTGCTGGTTCTGGATACTTGTTCCCTAAAAGAAAGCACGCATTTTGGTCAGCCTCCAGCAAACCCAGTCCAACCTCAGGGATGCCCTCTGGGCAGTCAATCCTCATTCCTCCCAGCTGTCCAGCAACCCTTGTTTCCTTCCAGCCAGGCTCTTCACCTGTGAGCAATTGCCATAGGCAAGCTAATTTTTCTCTCTTTTTTGAGAAAATTGTCTAACTTGATCCTGTCTTGATACTCCCACGTTTATTTTTCTTTATAAGGAGCCACTTCTTCCTTCTGACATTACCACGAGGTTCTGACACATGTCTTCAATGTTTCTCTGTACTCAAGTTTGCAGTACCAGCTTCTGTATGGGCTGAAGACCTGGAGAACTTTTGCAGAGAACTGTACTCAAGCTCCTTCACAGAAATACTTGTTCTGGAAAATCTGGCTTCCTATTGTCTTTTAAAGCTTTACTCTGAAAAAAAAATTCTCACTGGCCATTTGCAAAAAAAAAAAAAAAAATCCTGCCAGAATTTAAATGGGAAATGTTTGTGGTTTACATGGACATTAATGAAACAGGCTAGAAGTTTTCTCCCTTGTATGGCATTTCCTTATTTGATTCATGAGTGCAAAACCCAGGATTTTGCACTAACCTGGTTCTGCAGGCAAAGACTCCAACCACATTCCCTCTTGCTATTTAAGGTGCATGATTTATCACTGCCTCAGGGAGGCACAGAAGAGGAATTTCTTACTCATGAATTTATGTCAATTTTTTGTTAAATAATTGCATGGAAGTCGTGTTCAGTTCTGGAAACAGGATAAACCAGCAGTTATTTTCATTTCTGTGTGCTCTCTGCAAAGGTTTACGTCACTGATTTAGTCCTCACCTTGCTTAGGCAGCTGATTAATGAATTATGGTTGAACTTGATGAACTTAAAGGTCTTTTCTAAGCTAAATGGCTCTGATTCTATTAATTAATATGTATTTCTCAAATGAAAAACCAGGGCTGGGTGTCCCCAGTATGTGAACAAATGCACCCCATGGTGAGGAGCCACATTTGGCAGGAGAGGGGGACCAAACCCCTGGGCAGGACCAGGGCGGCAGACAGGACATGGCTCACCACAGTCCTGATTTTCATTGTGCATGGGTTTTTTTTTCTTTCCTTTCTAAGCTGAAAAGGTTAATGTTTGACTATTTATTTGGCTGAGCCTCCTTAAAGGCATGAGCTCAGTGGACCATTTTAATAACAGCAGACAGTGCTTCCTGCCCCCTCTTCTCCCTGGCCCTGGGAGCTATTCTTACCAGGAAATACGAAAGTCCACAAACACCACATCACTGGCCCACAACCCCATGTCAGCAGCTCAGATTAATCATCTTGATACTCTTTAACTTTTGGTGACAAGCTATTACATTTGTGTTTTAAATAGTCCAGGAAATTTGGGTCAGGATTGACAGCTGGGAACTTCAGTTCCAAAGTTTAATATTAATTCTTTCTTCATCTTCTTAATGCTTTTGAGTACAGACACCTGTCTGTTGGCTTCCAGAGGCATTGGAGTTAACAGTGAAATAATTTAATTTAATTCTTTGGGGTTATCATCCCGAGAACAGGGTAACATCTAGCTGTGTAGAAAGATAATTATATTTACTTACATCATCAGGTGTTGTGAGGACCACTTACTTAACAGCACTTGTGTGTTTCTCCAGGGAATGCCAGGACTTCCACAGGTACCATGGTAATCTAACATTAAACATTTTTTTAGCAATATAAGGAAGCAATTTTACTTAAGAACTGAGACAATTTTTATGCATTAAAATGTTTCCAGTGTTTCCTTCTGGTTTTAAGACTGTCCTTGAGATTTTACAAAAATGCCCTTTACCACAATTAAGAGGGATAGGTTTTCACTTTCTGGGATTTAAATCTTGCCTTTTGGAGAAAGAAGGAGAGCTTAGTATTCTCCAAACAGGGCAGTTCTGCATCACAAAAACAGGTTTAAATCACACACTTTGATCTTGCTTCATTCTCTTTTCTTGCTCTATTTCTACTGTGTCTCGGTCTGATTTTTAGCTGATCTGTTTACTGACCTTTAAAGCCTCTCCTACATCACTTCAGAGGCAAGAGGAGGACCTTGCCTTGCCTTGCAGTGTTATCAGATAAAGTATGAAGTGCTGAACCTCTGGAAGCAAGTGAGTACCTGACCTTGGCTTTGTCTGGGTACTAATGAAGGGAAAAAATAGATGGGATGAAATTCAAACCTTTGTATATTTTTGGTACAAGCCTGTATATGAACATCTTAATTTTGATGTGAGGCCTTAAGATCACAAGGGAATAGATTACAGATTGCTTCTAAGCAGTTTTACTTAAAAACTATCCAAATCACTTTTGTTTCAAATTAAACAAAAGTTATGTCAGTTAACTTGCATCAGTTGGGAACAAATCAAAAAAAGATGAAGTAAAAGTGCCATTAATCCAAAGTCAGAATGGTCACACCAGTTAAATTGGTGTGACTGCCTGTAATAGAGAAGACTTAGTATCATGAACTATTGAAATAATTTATTCAGATGTAATTCTGCCCAAAGGATGATTTCAAGCAATAACTTCCTTTTCCTCAGCCTTCTTTGTACAGAAAGTTTGTTAAATGCACTGATGCTTTATAATTTTTTGTTATTGTTAAGAAAAACTTCTTCCCATTGAGTTAACTTGTGTCCTTGGTTTTCTTATGTGCAGTTCCTCTGGAAATAAAACTAATAAAACAGTTTGTATTGCAGGAAAGAATTTGATTCACAGTGTTTTCAAGATTTCACCCCTCTCTGAGCTGTGATGTTGATTCAGGACGGGTGAGTTAACTCCAGATCTTCTTGTAATGTTTTCTGGGATTTCATTTGAAAATACTCATTATATGACTACCTCACACACACAAGGGAAGAGGACATTATTATGTCTTTAGCCAGAGTAGTCAGTTGATATCTTGCTTGAATGTATTTTCAAGATGAAAATGCAATTTATATGAATTTGATACATTCATTTTGTCCCTTTCATGTTTATTTCTGCTACAGAAAGGGGGGTAACCCCACCCCCTGTTGTCTGGTTTTTAAATGCCACAGGAAAAGCATTCTTTTCATGTAGCTTGAAAGCATAAAATAGATGTTGCAAAATCAATCACTGTTATTGGATGTAATGGATACTTTTCAAAGAAATAACCTTCAGGTTTTTTTGTATGTTACAGTGTAACCACTCATGGACAAATTTTTTGTTGGAAGCTACTTGCACTTTAGTGGAAAGGTAATTCTGGGGCACAATGGTGATGGGTAAGTTCATGGAAAGGCATACATCAGGAAAAAATGCTCTGTGTAATGCAGATATGATTGATTATTTTAGGGATGTCACATAAAGGTTAAATTACCCCTGTGAACAAAGTGGAATTTAGAAACTCTTGAGATATTCTGATATCAGTTCTATGATCAACTCAGGATTTCATATGCTTTTAGGATCATTGCTTGTTCTGTGGTTGTACTGTGGAATTGACAGATAACTAGTTTTGCCTTTCCTTCAAAAATCTAGATTGTTATTATTGTTGCTGTTAGGAATGAAATTCCATAATGGCTTTTCTAATACAGACTTAAATGATACTAATAAAGCAAAGTACTTAGTTCACCAGCATGTCAATAAACCATTAAAACAATCCATACATAATGCTAATTCTAATTGGTAGTGTATTAAGAGCCTGAGTTTTTCTTAGGGAGACAAAATGCATACCTCCTGCTTTCAACTGGAGTTACATTGGTTGTGGAGAGATTACTAAAGGACTACTTTACTTGGTTTGTATTTGTGTCTTTTTTGTTCAAATACAAGATAAAAAATGTACAATGTTTTTTTACTCTGTCTTTCTCTGCTAAATATAGATCAGAATTGTTACATTTGGCTTTCCCTGATGGAGGGCAAGAGAGAGGCAGCTTTTCACTTCCTTCAAACTGTAATGAAGGAGTGGGGGCTTCAGCCCTGTTCCTCCTCAGGGTCCAGTCCCCACAGTAAAGCCCTGCACCTCTGTGCACCCAGACTTGACCCATAGCCCTTTCTGGGACAGCAATCTCCTTCCTCTGCCCCCATCCATTTCCACAAAGTCTGCAGCACTCCAGTGTCTTTTACTCCTCTGCCAAATTCAGCAGAAAGGAATAAAGACAAGTCACATTTATTTAAAAAAAAAAAAAAAAAAACAACTGAAAAATAAGGAACTTAAGGTTTTTTTCTCATTGTAGGTCACTTACAGTCAAAAACCTAGAAGATTATATTCTGCCAAAAAGGTTGATACATGAGTAAAAGCTGTGTGGAAAAATCCTGTATTGAATTATTTTTGTTGGAAGGCACCTTAAAGATCATCTAGCACATGGGCAGGGACACCTTCCACTAAATCAAGTTATTCATCCCCATCCAATCTGACCTTCATCTCTTTGGTTTAAAATGTTCCCAAACTGTAGCCATTAATAGGCTTTCTAGTACTCATATGAATATTCAAATACATTTTGTAGTCAAATCATGTTGTAAAAGGCCACAGAGAAGAATACTTGACACAGCTCTCACATCAGATATACATGTACATTAATCAAGACTTAGATAGCTCAAGTAGAAATTACCTCAGAAAGATAGAAAGCAGTTTTCAATGCAGAATTATCTTTCAGATACGTAGTGAGATGGCTTCTGTCTTTAATGAGTGCAAATGAAATCATACACAGTGCAGCTCATGTTGGGAGATAGCACAGGAGGTACAGGGTCAGGAAATGAGGATGCCACAATGGTTAAAATGAGAATATGGAATGGAACTCACCACAAACTTTAACACAGAGTTTACTTGGTACTCAGCCATGCCTCTTGCAAAAAGTGGATGTAGACTATTATTAAATAAGGCTTTTTTTCATACAAAAATTAAAGCCATGCTCAGAAATATGCAAAAGGTCAGGGAATAAGTTCTGAAACTTGAGTGTTCTTCAGCATCCGGGTTTGCTGGTACTCCAGGTTATTTCTGAATGCACAGGAGCACCCAGCTAGTAAGTTACACACCTTTCTTTGGAGCACAAAAATCCCTGTATTGTCCAGTGAAAAGGTGATGACGGCTCTTGAGACACCCAGCACTGCATGTGTAACTAAGGAACAGTGTACCCTGACTGTGATTATATTTTGCCTTAATCACTTCATGAAAAGGGTAACTGGTTCACTGCAGACAAAGCTTTGCTATTACCCCTGACATTAAAATGCTGACTCAACACCTTAGGTAATTATTACAAAAAAAAAAAAAGTCTTGAGTATATTTAATGCCAACAGATTTAAGCAGCCTGGTTTCAGCAATGCTGAGCTTTTCTGGATCCCATTAGATCCACAACAAGATCCTGTGTTCAGCACCACTACAGATGAAAGCAACTTTTAAAGACCTTTGGAGATCCACTCAACAAAGCAGCAGCTCAGGGGCTGGCAGCTCCCAAGTGCACAGTGCCAGGTGCTCCTTTCTCTCGCAAAGATGGAAGGTGCTGGTAACACCTGATCTTCCTGAGCCTGAACCAGAAAAATGGAGAGTGTCCACCCTGCAGAGAAGGATGTGACTCCTGCTTGGCCACAGTGCTGGACATAACTGGGCCAGTGTCAGGGAGAACATGGCCACTCCTGCCAGCCTGCACATCAGTTCTGCTCAGTGCTTTACTTCACATTTGCCAGAGGGGAAGGACATGTCCATGGTGAGGGGCAGTGGCTCAGGTGGTCTGTGATGACTCATTAATCTGGGAAATTCAATTCTTTGTCTTTAACCTATGCTCTCTCCATTCTGGTAGGTACATCTTTTGCTGCCTCTATGAAACCTGGATTGTAATTTTTGTGTAAATTGCACAGAAATAACATCCACTTCTGAATGCATTTTGAAATGTGCCTCACGGGGTGTAGCTTAGTGAACATGTGAAACAATTTTCCAACTCACTTTCAGCAAGCAAGCTATATTTGCATCAGCACCATCTTGCATTAGTCCTACCCACACAGCAAGAAGTGTCTGAGAATTATCTGTGATACTGCACAGAATTAACATGCAAAGCCCAGTGAAAGCTGGACTGTGTTTCCTGGGCAGTGAGAAAACCCCACAACCCTTACACCCCATCAGATTTCTTTCAAGCATTTCAAACAATTAGTTCAGAGGACATTGGAATTATATTCAGGTAACATGCATCTTTCCTTAGTGTTTCTGGTTACATGACTTGTTTTTGCTATGGGATTCTTGAAGATTACAGGCTACCAGGAAATTTTTCAGAATGCTATGTATCTATGAGACATTCTGGGATGCTTATGACAGCAGCAAACCCTTGGTTTCCCATGTAGTCCTCAATAGGATTAATAGTTATGGATTGCAGGTATACTGGAGACACTGGAAGCTGAGCTTTGCAATTATAGTTTCAAGCTAGCACAGCTGGAGAAAATAAATATCCTGTCAGAAAAAGGGTGTGCAAAAAGCAACTGGGGAAAATCTGGGGAAGAAAGCATGTGAATTTTCTTCATCATAAAGCTGGGAAAGATACTGCAGTGGAAATATTTCTTTGCTTAAGCTTGGCTTACAGCACTCATTTCCCCAGGATCAGGGCTTGGTGCTGCTATCTGTGCCTAGACCAATATGAAACACTGGGATAGAAGTCCTGAGTGCTCAGTCTCAGTGATCAAACCACACAACTTGTGGTTTCAGCCTAACCTAGAATTCCTAAAGATGGAAGATTTATTGAAGTGCTTTTAAATTCAGGCTAAGGTGTCATTATGGACTTGGCCCCGAGGGAGCTGGAATTGCATCCCCACCAGCCCATCCCAGCCATGCTTTACACATGGGTCAGAGTGAACCCTTCACTGGTGGAGCAGGTCTGTGTGCATCACAAGTGAAATTCTCACCTCAGCACCTGAGTGCAAGCTCTGTGCTGCCTGAGACAAGGTCTGGAGTGCTCTCTCTAGTGGTGGCTGGGTGCTCCAAGCAGTGCAGCTTGGGACTGCTCCCCTCAGCGATGTTTCTGCCCACCAACCAAAGCAGGTTTGGCACTTTTGGGTCTGTGTGGCTCAAGGCACAAAATCTTCTTGGCCCTTTTCCTGCTGCTGAAGCTTCACCTTAGTGAGAGGGCCAGAACACTTCTCTTGAGCCAAGCTGATGGCAAAAGCAAATTATTCTCCTATATCTGTGTAACTGAGAGACCCCCAGCAAGAAACATGTCCATTCTATACAAACATAGCCAGTCCATAGTACAGACCATTTTAGTTACATTTTATCCCCTTTCTTTCTTCTCCTCTTTTATTACAGACACTTGCATGGCTGTTCTGTCTCCATCTCTGCTGTTTTCCATTCCTTTATCTCTGGCCACATTTCAATTACCTGTTCTGGAAAGAGACCCACCCACACTTATCAGCAGTGGAAATTTTCAAGGTGATATTTTAGAAGGGAGTAACTAAATTCTGCATATAGCCCATTAATATCAATTATGGGTGTTCAGATCAATACCAATAGCAGTGATATTGTTTAGAATCTTGAATTAATGTCATTATGCTGCCCACTCAGCTATGGGCATTTTCAGGCACAATGCACTACTTGCATTTTATTATAATGTATCTTTTCTGAAAACTCACATCATGGTGGGTACATTGCCATGTCACAAGGCACCATTCAGATGGATGGTACAGAGTGCTGGGCTGACAGGGCACCCTGCAGTGGCACTCTTGTGACAAGGAGTGTCCTCAGGATGGATTTCTTGCTGTCAGATCCCTCTCCCACTAGCCAGGTTTACCAGAACCTTTCATGCACCAGCCTCCTCCTTGCTCTGTGCAGCTCCTGGCTTTTCTTACTGGTTTCTCTTGTGAAGCAAAGAGTGCCACCACCAGGGCGGGAAAAATTAACATGGTAAGACAATTTGGACTTAAAAAATTTATTACAAAAAAATTACTTAAGAAATAATAACTAATGCTCCTTGTTCCTCTTTTTCTTTCCAGGCTCTGAGATGCCTGGGGACCTCAGCCTCACCAGTCCTGTCTCAGCAATCAAGAGTTGGCACTCTGTTAACTGGGTGCCCACAGGCATGTTTTAAATAACCTCATCAGTCTGGATAACTCTTATTGGTTCCCCCTTCTCAAGTCTGCCAGAATTAAAAGAAAAAAAGGAAAGATTCTCAGGAGACTTTCCCCAGCAAAACCAGGATTATATTATTGGCACTTCCATTACATTGCTGGTGAGTCTCATTTGAAATAGCCTGCACAGTTCCAGCTGGATCAGGGCAGTGGTGGCCAGCTCCAAGGAGATTTGCAGACCTTCACTTGTTTGGTCTGGCAAGTGAGGGCTGAGAGCAGGGTGTGATCACTGCTAAACTCATTGAGGGGATAACGCGGGAAAGGAGAAGAGCAATTCACACCTAAGAGTGATGCTGGCACACTCTCAAATGGGTCTAAGCTGATCTTGAATACACCTGGCCTTGGTTTTAGAAGACAGGTTCAGAAGATAGTTCTTTTGCTCCTGCTACCCTGAAGCAGTGAAGCCTTTAATAGGAATAGTGTGGGCCAACAAAAAACAAAGTTAGATTAAAAAGTAGCACTATTCACTTTTGGAGGCAGCTGTATGTTGTAGTGCTGCCATGACAGGAAGGTCAATTCTGTGACCCAGAAGGATCTCTCAGTCCAATTTCCATGTTCCTCACAACCTTTGTCAGAAAAATAAATTGGTAACAATATTGACAGTAAAATCACCCTTCAGAGACAATCTTCAGAGTCTTCAGACTACTGAAAGGAAAGGTGGGAGATGGGGAGGGATTTCATCTTTCATATTGCTATTGATTTACTATCTCAGCTCATAACAGAGAATAGCATCAGTCTGCACTCAGTTCATATTTGAAAGCTGAAGTTTTTTCCTCTTCAAACACAAAGATTAGAAATGATTTTGTTTAAAAAATGAAGCTCACATTCTGCAGATGGTCAAGAATCTTTGATGCGAGTATGGGAGGGACTCCTGATTCATCAGGGATTGAACTAAAGTGTATTTGAGTAGGATATCATTCCTTCATTATAAAAGATAATAGACCAAGCAGGAACAGCAACAATAGCATTTCTTCTTCATTTCATAGTACTCAAATACTTCAATGTTTCCCATTGAAACCTTGGATTTGACAAATAGCAGTATCAGCTTTGCATAAAGTTTTTCTTCTGAACCACTCCTGCAGAGAACGGGATATACAGTTTTAAAGAGCCAGTCTCAGAGATTATGGTCTACCACTCTTCATATCATTTCTAGTTAATCATTTGTTAGGATTTTTTTTTTCCTGGAAGTCAAGATTTTCCCTTCCTCCTAATATTTTTTTGCCAAACATGACTTAAGGGTCAATTTAGGATAATAGGCTTGTTTCCTCTTAATTTTTTTCTTTTCATGCTACTGTAAGGGAGTCTGTCATTCAGTATTATGAGGAAAATATTCTAGGAAAACTTGTGATTGCAATTGCTTGATTAATTTTATTCAGTCTGCAGGAATGTTGAGGCCTTTAATGGGATGCTCCCCATCAGTTTGTCCTTTTTAATACAGCATCCCATGAGTCAGGCCTTTATGTAATCCTATTTACCAATGGCTGCAAAATCATTTATACAATGAGGAATGTAGTAAGTGCTCTCATTTGAAATCAAAATATTGAATTTCACATGTGGTAGTGTAGCAGACTACATGGTTGAACTGAAGATACCCTTTGCATTTCCATCATCACATGCCAATTATTTCTTTTCCTATTTCTACATAGAAGACTGGAAGAAATAGTTTTTGTTTTGTTACAGTTCAAGGAAGATGATTATGAATTAACTCATACCAGAAAGGCTGATTTTTCACTGGAGGAAATGAGTATTGTTTGCCTCATCAGCTCTTTTTTTTTTAAACATTAATTATTAAACTTTGTCAGTCATATTCATAAGGGACATCTGATACAGTTGCAGTCTCATACAGTTGCAAATGATGAGTAAGAAGCACCAGCTTTTCCCCAGATCAGTTTTATCTGAATGAGCACTGCTAAGTGTGCTGGCTAATTAGACAGCAAGCAATTGAAGTTACAGCAAGGAAAAAAAAAAAAGGAATTTTATCAAGATGAATCCTGAGCAGCCTTGTTTCCTGCTGCTTCACACATCAAGCAAAAGCCCTTGACCCTGCCATGGGATGAAAGAATCTACAGAGGTGAAATGTGAATGAAAGTGGTGAATCTGTGGCAGGGGGTGGGTCATTCCTGACCACAGGAATGCTTTTTCCTTTGCTTCACCTGCAGTGATTCTGTGTCCTGTGTGGGTGCCACACTGCAGTCATGCATGGGGAATGCCAATCTGACCTCTGAAAAACATACAAATTCATAACAAATCCACCTCCACCTGTGCGTATTTGCTTTTATTGTCATGAGCCTTTCTACACCCTCACCTCTAAAATAATCCCCTAAGTTTTGCCCCTGCAGCTGCCCAGTTACCCACTCACTAAAGGGAGAGAGCTGATGTTCAGTGGGTACAAAGCCACCAGACCTTCAGAGCCTGTCAGGAAACCTCTCCCATGTCAGTCTGGAGTGGCACTGCACCACAGCAAAGTGTGTGTCTGCATTGCAATCAATAAAACCCCAGCTCAGGCCCTGCCTTTCCTCTCCACAGGCAGCTGCCCTGGGAATTGTCTCTCATTTCTCTGATGCTGCTCAGTGGCCATCTCCTCTTGCCTCTAACAGGGACAGATGCTGGGAAACAAACTCAGGGACTTGTGTGATGCTGAGGCATTACTCACAGACCATATATATATAAAGGTTCAAACAGCAAATTTACATATGTAAAAGATTGTTTGTTTAAATAAAACAGAAAATTAAACAAGCCATTGTCTAAATGAATCCTGAACAGATTTATTTTGGAGTATAATGCTGCTTCCCAGCACCAAGGTAGTGGCAAAGAAACTATTATTACTTTCAAAGACAAGATATGATGCAAAGTCTACATGGGAAGAAGGAGTTAAAGCCAGAAAAATGGACAGTCTGCAAAGAGCACAGAATCTGATCACTGTGCACATTCACTGGATCAAAGAAGAACTGATAATATATATGAAATCAGTGGGACATTTCCACAGTAATAGAAAGGAATTTAACCTGTCACCTACATCCTGGGTGAATGCTCCATTCATTATGTTGCTGGCTATAATGAGAACTACTTCCTCTTTGAAAAGAAAAAAACATATGTAACAATCTTCTTTTTGCAGTGCTTAGTCCTCACTTTTTCCTGAAGGAGATTTAGGATCAAAAAGCAAAATAGTCTGAGGAAAAAATTCGAATTACGCCTTTATCTCACCTTAGTGTTTGTACCTCCTGTTCTAGGTACCCAGGAGTAACCCAGCTACTGGCTGTGGGTAGGAAACATCTTCAATCTGCTCATTGTCAAAAGGCAGGCACCATCAAACTCAGTGTGTTCACACCCCCTGTTTTAGCTTTATATCTGAGATATTATGGTAGTGAACACTGTGGGAAGACTAATGAGGAAATTTGCTATCTAATAATTTGAATATGTCTCCTTTTTTAGAGCAGATTATGAAGAGTTTTGAGTGCACAATGCATGTGACCATTCTTTCAACAGAGATGAAGAACCATAAAACACCTGCCCAGCACATGGGCACACTCCTCACCAAGCCATCAGAGCAAATCTCTCAGCTGCCTAAGGTGATGGGAATGTATCATATCTGCTATCTGATGGGCCAGGGAACAAAGGGTGGGCAAGTCCTGCACCAGGGCTCTGCAGACAAAGGCACATGGATCACAGGTGCAGCTCTGGCTCTGCCCTCAAGGCAATGAGCTCCTTAATGGACTTTGCAACATTCATGACAAGCAATTATGTCCAGGCCCATGACATTAAATGCACAGACATGGCAGCACAGATCTTGGGGGCTGTCACAAATTGACGCTAAATGAATTGTCCAGGAGCCTGGCTCGGTACAGCAGTTGCTTTCTTTGAAAACAACAGGGTGTTTTCTCCTCTGCAGCCTGGGTTAGAACAGCAATGCAATTGCTCTCTCTTATGAGGATTAAATGACCCACTCAGTTACTTTGAGCCACTGAAATTTAAATGGGGACATAAAATCTGAGCATTAGTCAGATATTTAGAGCCTAACCAAGGACTCTTTCTTTTGTCTCACCTCATTCACTGTACCACCCTGCTGTCAAAATGTAACTCTACTTAAAATGATGACATGCCAGTACATGTTTTGTATATAAATTATTAAAACAAAGTTGTTCAAGTTGCTCAAACATAGGAAAGAGAGGCAGTGTCAGAGTTATGAGTTTAAAAGCAATAAGGCTGGTCTGTCCACTTTCCAACTTAATTCCTAGAACAAATTCACTTAACATCCATCACAAATAAATCTGAATAGGAGACACATGCTGGTACAACATGTGACTCTCACAGCCAGCAAAATGTGCCTCAGAAAGAGGCACCATCTTTTTAATGACTGGACAATCCTACAATCCTTTAAAGAAGTTTTAGTTAAGATTTTATTTTGTGGACTTAAAACCAAATTAGAAGCTCAGAACTCCAAGTTGTATTCCTCTTGCAAATTACTTGAGGTCATAAACCAAGATTGATATTAAAAGAGGAGGTGGGACTGATACAGCTGGAAGGAACATATATATGTAAAAATATATCTATATCTATAAATATGTATATATGGGAGATGGAAATGTATGTTTGTATAAGATATTGGAAGAACAATTTCTGTAGAAAAATCTACTTTAAACTAAGGAGGGAGCAACATTTGCAGAAATGGTAAGAAACACAGCACTGGGAATTTGTTTTTCCTGTAGTACATGGGTTACTTTGATCTTCCATGGAAATATGAGACTGCAAGTTAGCCATAATTGCTTTGCCCCCTGTTTGTAACCTCAGTTATTCTCAGCTTCCTCAGACTTTGAGAAAGTTGTAAAAAAATAATTTGTTCTCTCTTCAAATTATAGTCAAGCAGCATGTCTTGTGCTCTTTGTGGTATCTGAAGGGTTAAACCTGTCCTGTAGCTGGGGTAAAGGACAAATTGTCCCAACAACCCACCACATTCCCTCCTTCCTTCTGTGTGGACTGAGAGATTGTACCTTGGCACTGAGCTCCCTCCCTTTGTTTCTACATGCCTCCAGCCAGGCTCAGAGGGAATCAGGTACAGATGTGACTTTCTGGAACTCTTGAGAGAATCAGGAAAGGGTAAAACCAAAATTAGAGCTTGATCTGCCTCCTAACAGCATGCCTGAGAGGTCATACTCCTTTATTCATTGAATAGGCATGGAAACACACCCATGACATCAGGAAGTTTATTAATATGAGTAAATGCTCATTTTTGTAAGACTTTCAAAATCCTCTCTGACATTTTGATGCAAAATGAATTATTGATTTAGCAATGGAACAATGAGAAGACTGGAGCTGCCTGCATCTCATGGTGGAGGCATATGTACCATGGCACACCCAGCAATCAGCCCTACAAACAATCAGTCCTAAATATAGACTACAAGGTGGGGACAAAACTGAATAGTGAACATGCCTGGGGTAAACTGCAGTGAGAACCAGATCTTGTAAGCTGTGGTGAAATAAAACCTCTCAGTGACACGTGCCTGGGACATTGCAGGGAGTGGATGTGACCTTGCACTTTCTTGGATGCAGCTGGGATCTGATGAGGTTGAGTCTCATTTAGACAACATGGAAATGTCACAACATCCAGCCTTAAGGCAGGCCCAGAAGACAGGCAAAATGACCAAGTTGTGTTTCAACTGCTGTTTCACATATACAAACCACAGCAGACCATGGAGATCATGCAAATAAAACCAGTGGGTTGAGTAAAAATGGCTGGAAAGAGATCCTGCTAAGCCCTCCAATCTCAAGCCTCCAACACTGTCCTATAAGGGCAGGATGACTTAGCCCAGGGTTGGATTCAGCCCCTGGATGAGGGCAGAGATGTCCCTGCCTTGGTCTGGATATGGAGCATCCCCACTCTCCTGGGTGGGTTTCCAGGCTGGTGCTGAGCTGATGCCCTGGGGCACTGTAACAAAAGCAAAAATACAGTCTGGGCTCAGTGCTGGGCAGGAATTATTATTTTGTCTGGGTCACAGGTTGCTCTATACTCTTTAAGAGACCACAGCTCAACTCAGACATCCCACTGATGGGGCAAGGCAGCTGGTGAAGAAGCAGTTCAGAAAGATGTGTCAAAGCCCGTTTCTAACAAACAGGATTCCTTTTCAGCTTGTAGCTTTGCTGAGTCTCTCAGGGTATTTGTAATATTTTAGCATCTGTTTTACTGAAAACAAGCTCTTTTTTAATATCACAGTTTTATCTCTTTTTTTTTCTATTTTTATACAGCATAGAGTTTATCCATGATGCAGTTTTGTAGAGATGCTCTCCCATCCAAGATAATTAACTGCTCATTAATAATGTTATAAACTGGCTGGAATTTGTCTTTGACTTCCACAGATTCCCAGGAGTTTATGACTGATCTGGCCAACTTTCATTTGGTCATGGAAAGGAACAAAATAAGAGACAGGAGGAAGTCCAGTGCCTTTGGTAGGTACTGCTCTAGCAGGGAGACATTCAGAACTTCATCCACAGTGTCAAACAGAGCTAACTGGAACCTTCATCATCCTCATGTCCCTGTTAGATATATTGCTGGGATCCATCCATCCATCCATCCATCCATCCATCCATCCATCCATCCATCCATCCATCCATCCATCCCAATGGGATGATGAGTGCTGGGGTGAGTGAGCTCAGTTTGTTGTTCTGGATATGAGCCCATGGCTGATCTGTACCATACAAAGAAGGTTTTGACTCCCTTTGGGATGAGCTGCAAAATTAAAGCCTGAATTCAGTTTTTCAGGGTATTGGTCACTTCAGAGGTCTCTGTCTATTCCCACTGAGGGTTGCATCAGTCCTCTAGCCCACTGTGTGTCAAGGAGCCATGGTCAGCACCTCTCCAAGATGGAACAAAACAGCTCCAGGAGGAAATAAAAGCATTGATCTCTTCCTGTGCCAAACATCCCAGTCACTTCAGTGAGCTTGTCCTGAACTTCAGGAAAATATCTGAGCCACTGCAGAGACCTCCCCAGAACAATGTCCCAGCTTTTCTCACTCCCTCCCCTCTCCTTTACCCAACAGTGCTGACCAGGGTCTCCAGTTTTCTACAGTTACTCATCTGTGCCTGAGTGAGGGAAACGCAGCAGCACCCTTGAGGAGGCTGAAAAAGAAAGTGTGACCTGGAAAGTCTGGGAAAGATGGGGTTTTTTCTGCAAAAGGGGCCACAAAGGAATTCAGAGTTTCCAAGGTGGTTGTGTGGGATGGGAGCTGCAAAGTGATCTCAAGGCATCAGGTAGCATTCCCTTCCCTTTCTGGCTGTGCCATAAATCCCTCATAGTAAATAAAGGGTTTTGTGCATGCCCAGGTGTCCATTGGCAGAACCAAGGCATGCAGACAAAAAGCAGCACTGGTTAAGCTGGGCTTTCAAGGCATCAGGATGGTTTCATTCAGAGTTCCAGCCAAGGGGAGGATGATCTTGCACCTAAAGTATTCTGAGAGATTCAGTCAAGCCCTGGCTCTTTCACAGGGAGCTGTGGGGATGTGTTTGTAATCTGGTGGGAGGCTGAGCTGAAGGCCATATATGTAGATGAAGAAGAGCTGAAGAGAGAAGATTTTTTTGATTTATCCCTGCTGGCTCAGACACACATCTTAACCCTTCCAGCATGAGCCCTCATAAACACAGAGCAGTACCCCTGAGGGAGCCCAGGAACCTCGGCGCCTGCCATCAGCTCTGCTGCCTGGCTCTCTGCACAGAGCACAAAGCCAATGGCACACAGATCTGTGCAGACAAACAGGGGCTGCACAACTGCACCCCAGGATGGCACAAAATCCCCAGAGCTCACAGCCATTTCCTAGAGAGAGTTGAGTGCATTTACAGGGCTGTGGTACTGGAGGAGGTTGGGTTAATGGCAGGGAGGACCCCCAGGCAGTCCTGCCCTGGCTCCCAGCTCTGTCTCATCCCCAGAGGGTGCACAGGTATGGGGGGCCTGGGCGGGGTTACCTGGGGGCTGCTGGGCACAGAGAGACCAGGAATGGGCACCTGGCAGGAGGAGGGGAAGAGAGGCAGCTCCTGAACTCAGAGGGCTGCAGGGAAAAGCAGCTGGGAGCTGGAAACAGGCTGGGGAAAAGGTGTTGTGTGACCATGTTCACAGGGGTCTTAGGATGAGGGAAGAGATGACTCCATGTTTCAGAAGGCTGATTTATTATTTTATGATATATATTATGTTAAAACTATACTAAAAGAACAGAAGAAAGGATTTCATCAGAAGGCTAGCTAAGAATAGAAAAGGAAAGAATGACAACAAAAGCTTGTGTCTCAGACAGCGAGTCCGAGCCAGCTGACTGTGGTTGGCCATTAATTAGAAACAACCACATGAGACCAATCCCAGATCCACCTGTTGCATTCCACAGCAGCAGATAACCATTGCTTACATTTTGTTCCTGAGGCCTCTCAGCTTCTCAGGAGAAAAAAATCCAAAGGAAAGGATTTTTCATAAAATGCATCTGTGACAGTGATGGGGGCAATGTGCCTCTTAGGATCCCTCCCACAGTGGCAGAGAGAAAATGCACATTTTGTTTGCCCTCCTATGCTGTCCTTCCCTGGAGGCTGCAGGTGCTGTGGTGGTCACAGGGCACCTGGATGGGGCACTTTGGAAATGAGCAGAGGAAGGACCAAAGAGGGATGCAGCCACAAGGACATTTCTGCTGAAGCAGCTGAGACCCCACCACTGAGCCTCCTCCAGAGTGAGACCAAGGCTTCACACTCAGCTGTCAGAGCAGCTTCACAGCAGCCCCGCAGCCACAGGAAGGTCACCCAGCCCACCACAAAAAGCTTTGTCTACTGAGAATGATTTCTGAGACAAGCAGACCCCACAACTGCTTTCAAGACACTGCTATTTCCTTGATCATGTCTCCCCAGGTTAGCCCAGTGGGGTCCTGGTGGGGGCTGCATTGCAGCTCCTTGTTCTTCCCTCACCAAGGTCAGATGATGCCTGCCAGGCTCTTTGCTGTGTGCACACATGCAGAGATGGAGAACTAATGGACAATTACTGTTCCTGGAAACTGGTGCTGAGCATCATCACTTACCAGAAGCACAGAAAGCGCCACATCCCACAGGGCCCAATGACCAGGAGAAGAGTGGGAGGGAAGGGTGGCCTGCAGGAAAAGCTTGTCCCAGTGCCATCACTTTCTTAACTCACCTTGTAGTAAAGAAAATGAATGCAATAAGTTGGGTAATGGAAAATATAGAAAGGACATTCCTATATTGTTCAAGTTATTGTTACACATGCTTTAGGACATGAACACTTTTTCTTTTAAAGCACAGGAGACAGTCCAACATTTTAAAAACACAGACATTATAGGTAAAAGTTGTTTGTAAAAATCATTAATCATCTTATTTTAAACAACAGTTGCACAGAATTATTCTTCCATGGGTCAGCTGCCTGCAATCAAAAACTCTACTGGGAAACTTGGTTTAATTTCCTCTGCACTGCCACTTTTTTATGTGGTGCTGAACAGCTTTCTTAATTGCTCCACATCTCAGTTTCCCATTCA